CGCGACAATGATCTAAAACCATTACGAGTAACGCACTCAAATGCACACACACACACACATACACACACCCACACTTAGGCTATTCTCAACCTTGACTGCCATAGTAGAAGAAGAGTGGTCAAGAGATGGCTCGAGTGCAAGGCTTTTTCTGCTTACCTCCTTTACTTCTGATGCAGTGTTTTTGTGTTTCTTTTTCTTGAGGGTTCAGGCCAGAGTCCAGTAGTTTTCTACTCTGTCACAACAGAAATCAACGAGGACGCTGCCAAGGACACGGCCAATACTAGACTGCAACTTTGTATGTTTGCCATCACAATCACCATGGAAACCAAGGATCACTGACAGTGTAGGGAAAAAGCCAGGAGGGGGGGGGGGGTGCGGGTTGTCTTGGTCCCACCTCGGCTGTAATGTTTCTGGGGGAAAGTGTCTCTCTGCGAGTGAAGGGAGAGTCTAAATCTATTGCAAAGCTACGCGTGTCAGAGGACCGGGCAGCCCGATGGCACATTGTCGATGCAGAGTCCTACTGCCACAGACTTGCACTTTAATGACAACTGACTCCTATCAAAGCCCTGAACCCGTGGTTTACATTTTTGATCTGATCTTTACTTACCTAAACAACTCGGTGACCGCACCTACCTTTAAGGATATACTTTATGTCCTCTTGACTGTTATCACGATATAGAAATCACTGAATCTTTGTGCAGATTGCTGTTTATATAGCCTATGCCTTTTCAGTGGGGTCCTTAATCTTTTCTTCACTTAAGTTTAACATGGTTTCTATCAATCCATTCCAACAAATACTGGAGCTTTGACTAATGTACATACGATTTTTTGGGATTTAAAAAGGAAAGGGAAGTGTGTGTGTGAGACAGAGAGAGACAGAGAGAGTGTATGTCAGAGTTTCTACACAGCGTGGATACAGCTTCCCCATTTGGAAAATCAACAATGGATCCACATGACCTACGCTATCCTACTCTTTCTGTCTCTCTGGCTGTCTCCGGTTCAGTTTCTCTCGCAGTGGAGGTTGCGACGATCGGACCTGAGAGCCACGTCTCTCACACCGAAGGAGGAGCTGCCTTTGTTTCAAAAATGTTCTTTTATTTTTTTTTTCCAGTCATGTAATTCCAGTTTCTCAACACAGAATATGCAGCCTCTTTCCATGGTTTATCTTTCCTTTCGGTGAAATGTTTTCTCCGGCTCTGTGAGGTTAAAAGAAGAGGATCAAAAATTGTGCTTGAAATTTTCCGAGTTTGATATTCGTAGAGAGTGTAATATTAATTTGTTTTGTTTAACAGCTATTTATTGAAAAACCTGTTTGTGGATTTCCTCCTTTTTTTTCCCCCTCTCCTCTCTTTCTCTCTCCTTCTCTCTCTTTCTGTGTGTGTGTGTGTGTGTGTGTGTGTGTGTGTGTGTGTGTGTGTGGCTGTATGGGTGTTTGAACGCAAGGAAGTTTGAGTGTCCAGTGTCCAAAAAAAAAAAGTCTATATTGATTTCTTAAGATTATTTCCATGTTTTTCGGCGATGTTATTGACAATTCAAGTGAGGCAGATGACGTCTTATTATTCTAATTATCAGAACAATGATTACTGTTGTTGATGTTACTATTATTAATTATTATTAAGTGCTGGATGCTAAGCTTTATTGTGTGTTCTTTTTTTGATATTTTCTATCTTGTATAAGAAAAAAAGCTTTTATACTTTGCCTTGTTGTGGACAGCAAGCCATAAGGCTTTTATCAACCTTTTATTGTGCCAGTTTACGCTTTTTCTGTCGTATTTGCTTTTTTTACCGAAGGGGGAAAAAACAATTTCACTGTCAAACTTCTCTGTTAGATATTGATTGAAACATATATTCAGCACACGCTTTTTGCATCACTAATGTACACTAATTGATTAATATCGAACCAAAAACAATCTAGTACCTTGTATACATGAAGTGCTTTTGTTTCACAGTCCGTGTGTGCAGGTGCTCTTTTTGGATTTATTGTCGTGGTTAAACAGTTTTTCGTTGTTGGGTTGTTTTTATTTTTTGAACCTGTCACTATTTGTCACAGTTTAAAAAAAAAAAAGTGCACATGTTATGGTATTATTGTGAATATGAAGAAGGGCTGTGTGAAAGGACCGGCTAGCTTTTTTTTGAAGATCGCATCTTAAAAAAAACAGATTTGATTTTGGATTTTCTTTTCTAGTTTCTACTGTCTCACGCCTCGCATGACACACAATCACGTAGAAACGCAGCACGCAGACGAAACGCTCCTCTCAGGCCGCGTTGAGGCTGCGTGCTGCGTTTCTACCTGCCGGTGCTTTACTGGCTTGAATCGAGTTCGTTTGCAACAAAAAGGGAAAGTGAGTGCTGCAGTAGTAACTCTGGGAAACATTTTGCCGCCTGTCTGCTACAGGTGCCATGGACTGCACTTCCCATCAATCCCCACTGAGAAACTCTCATTTGATTTGTGATGCTTTCTTCATGTCTGGCAGTTATTTTGTTTGTATTATTTATTGTGTTTTTGTTCGACCCATTTATCGAAATCTTTGGGTGGAGATTAAAAAAAAAAAAAAAAAAGGAGAAAGACAATGGGGTAGGATTTTTATGAATGTCAATGGTGGGTGTGGAAGGAGCCCATGATCGGTGACAAATCTCTGTCCTGTGGTGCCGTTGTGGCCACTGAGAGACATCTGGATGTATGTGTGACTCCCCGGCCCTGCGCTCTTCTCACGACCTGTACTGTATGTCTTCTTCCTCATACTGGGTTGTACTTCAGGAAAACGTCTGCCATCAACCCCTCAATATGTGCCTCAATGACATTTCACCCGTGTGCTTGTGAGAGTGTCTGTTTCCGAGAGATGGATATGTGTTTGTGTTGAAGGATAGAGATTACTAAGATGCGACTGATCAGATTAGAGGTGCAAAATGTTTTTGTTTTTATTTTGTTCGAGGATAAAACTTCAAAGAGACAAATCATGATGGGTGACTAGATTCTCCTTCCCACCGTGTGTTGATGACCTTCTGTGCCCTGATTCTGTGGTCTTAACTGCATGCCTGTGCTCATTTTGTCATACCAAAGCGACGTCTTCGGCATCTGCACACAACTGTCTCATTCCACACGATGCAAAACTGGAACTGTTTGCTCTATTGCAGATGAATATGGGTATTCTTAGACGTGTACAAATTGCAATCCTCATTTAGCCTGTATAGCTTGATTCACACGTGCAAATCATGAAGCCATAGATATGGGTATATCTATATTATACTATATTTCAAAATTGGCGCTTTTTACTTTAGATTTTGTTCTTCTACTAAGAGTGATGTGTGTATACCTTCATATATATGAATTTATATTACTATTATATATTATTTATTTCCTCTCAAGTTTCAGAGGGTCTTTGATTTGTAAAAGGTCACACTTGAAGCTTGAGGTTTGTTTATTTTCATTGGGAATATTGTTCAATATGATACTGACTTTATATTGATGATTATCATAAACCTGTGTTTGTAACAAAATGTGTTAAATAATCAACAAAAAAAAAAATACCTGTCCTGTTTTTACACCTGTTTTGTTTCCGGGCAGATTTAAGTGCTCTTGTGCAGATATTTTTTCGGTTGATAGTACTGATCACAAAACATTTTTACAGCCAACCATGAGCCTCCTGTTTTGATGTTGGGGCTGGCCCACCCGGCCGTCCAAGCCTCTTTCTAACTTCATGTTTAGTGGAAGAATTAGCTTGACTATTATTTGCAAAAACCAATCAGTCTCAATAAATTTTGAAATTGCTGCTGTAAAGAAGTGACATGTGTGTGCTGTGCGTTTTTGTTTGCTTCTGTCGACACCCCCGGGGCCCAGTGGATCAAAACTTTAATCTGAAAATCCCATGTTTTTCTATCCAGGATCATCTTATCCATCTTACGTTTGTGCTGGTTGTCCAAAGCAACAATGGATCACCATGATTCAGGTACAAACTTTTCACTAGCTATGTAAAGAACAGTGTGGGGTCACTTCAAGTGTTTTAATTTAAAGGTCCAGTGTGTAGGATTTTGGTGGATAAATTGGCAGAAATGAAACTCACTATAATAAGTGTTTTCTTAAGTGTGTAATCACCTGAAAATAAGAATTGCTGTGTTTTCGTTACCTTAGACTGAGCTGTTTATATCTACATAGGAAGCGGGTTCTTGTCCACGGAGATCACCATGTTGCACCGCCATATTTCTACAGTAGCCCAGGACAGACAAACCAAACACTGGCTCTAGAGAGGGCCATTTGCATTTTTGTGTCAGCCACTGTACGTAGTTAACAGCGCCTCTGTGACAAGCAGCATGGGAAAAAATAGATTTTTTTAATGTGAAATTTGCTTTATTCACTGTTAAATTACCAGGTCTATTTGTTTTGGAGAATGAGAAACCTGTGCTGATAATTCGGCTCTGATTAAGTTATCAGAGAGAAAAGATGATCACACATGAGCAAGAGAAGGGCTAGCGGGCGGTCTGTGATGAGCCAAACAGTGTTGTTTGTGTTGTTGTTTTTTTACCAGTTTTAATCACCTGAGGAAGAAACCTCTTTGGATAATTCGGCTCCCAGTAAAAACCTCCTGAAAAATGAACATGGAGGGATTCCTAATCGTGTATTTTTTGACATTTTGTTGCTGAAATACACCTTGAATCCACACTTCTTCTGTTAATGTATTTTTTTTTTAATTTATTTTGATCAAAGGTATCCCGATCATCTAATTTCAGAAATCTTTCTTGTCTTTGTAACAACCCATTTTCAAGAATTGATCCAATCAGACTATCTCTGAACAACTGAGCCACAGGGTTGGTAAGACTAGTGCTGTCATAGCCCCCTGCTGTCCACAAGGGGGCAGGCTAGACAAGTCAAAGAAAGAAGACACAAAGGAATGAATCCTCTCTATTGATCTTTCATTTCAAGCTTTGGAAGATTAGTCATTGTAAACCTGCAGTCACTTATCTTATTTATGTGTGTGAAAGATTAATGCAGACACTGACGGCAGACTTCTTCCATTCAGGTTTATTTTCTTTCCGTCACATTACATCACATAGATCACATTATCAGCATCATACATGGTCATCCATCTTTTCAAGCACTAGTCATAGGCTTGACATTCACACAAATACTCCTTGAGTGCACCACTCCTCAGAAAGTGCTTTCTCCGTGTGCGTGGGACTGCTGATGAAGACCAGAGGCCGAGCCCACACACAGGAGAAATCTTGCCCTCCAGTGAAGACCGGAGGCTGACGTCACGTTTCCCTCAACAACAACAACAACAACAAAAAAAAGCTTTTAGCTCTGCGTTTGTGTGTGTCAGGCTGCGACGAGCATTGTTTTTTACATTTAGAGGGAAACACACTACATCAGCCTCTGGTTATCAGTTACTGAAAGGGAAAATCTAACACATAAAACCCTTCAGTGTTGTATCTCCTAACCAAAAAATAGAACAAAAAAATGAGCGATGCTAGACATGCAAAACAACCTCAAACTCAACCAGACAATCAATCAATCAATCAATCAATCAATGAGAAAACAAAAACAAGCAAAAGTCAGTTTTCACGCCAGCCAGTGTAAGGCTCAGTAAAAACGCAACAAGAGAAAAATAAAAATGGTCATCAAATGAGAGATGTGACAAACAAAGGGATAAAAGCCTGGACAAACAACACGAGCACAGTAGAAGAAGCAGAGAACTGAGTGGAGCTGCCATTGCAATGCATTACATTACATTTGATTTGGAAGGAGATCTATTGGCTTTGCTGCTGCTGGTTTACAAACAAATGAAAACTGACATTCAAGAAAGCAGCACAATTTTTTTTGTTGACGTGGAAATAAAAATGAAGGCTTTTTTTATGCACATTTCAAGGGTTTAGTTTAGCTTAATATACTGGGTAAAGGCTTGGGTGGGACCACAGTAAAGCTGGACAGCACAAGAAGAGGAAATGGGAAGAAAAAAACAAAACAAAAGACGAGGTGATCGCAGAAGAATCACTGTAGTGACAATGAAATGGGAAGGTTACGAGTGGAAGACACTAAAAGCGTGCTGTCGGTTGGAATGTGCAGGGCAGGATGAAGATTCCCACAAGGTTAAAATTTTCATCGAAGGTTATCCTGCCTAACAACAACTTAAACATCACGACCACACACAACATCCAAAGCGGTGATAACCACATACTTGGAAAAATGACTATTTGGCAGGGAGAAAGACAAACAGCAACAGCGTGAGCAAGTCGCCCAGATGTCACCAAAAGCTCAAGTTAGTTCTTGTTCCATTATAAAGCATCTCATTGCACAAAGTAAGATAGTAAAGCAATACTGCATGGTTATTTGATATGACTTAGCAGTGTGGCGACAGCTGTGGGTGTTAGAAGATTTGGATACCAAAATCAGGACGCGCTACAGGCAGTATGAACTAGCCAGCAAATAAAACGACGACAACAAAAAAAAAAAGACTTTTCTTTTTTTAGGTTTTACATTCAACAGGTTTTGTTTTTCTCCCCTTTGCCTCTAAGCTACAATATACATTGAATCTTTTATGTGTTATGTTCACTATAGCTTCTCAATCGACTTTAAAAAAAAAAAAAATGAAGGAAAATATTTTGAGCAACTATACTGTAAAAAAAGTTTACTTTCCATATAACAAGATAACAACAACAAAGAAAACAACAACAATATATGAAAAAAGCCTCACGGTTCTCTTTATGTTGCATATGTACAAGAAAGCCCTGAAACTGCAAAATCCATCTATATCGTCACTGCGTGTCTCGTGTCTGCTCTCCATCGACTTCGCCTGCACACCCATCAAATGTCAAACTCCATCTCCCACTTTTAGAACCTGTGTTTATGACAAAAAATACCAATGAAGTCCGACAGAGCGACTTTGTACCCACAGTTCTTTCTGGCCATGACAGAAGCCGAACTGATACGACTTGAGCCTTGATCGTCACGGGCCAGTTTAGTGCAACTCAAATAGAAAAGGTGGAATAGTGGCAAACACAGGAACCTGTTAAAGGGATAGTTCAGCTCTTTTGAAGTGGGGCTGTATGAGGTACTTCACTATAGTCAGTGTGTTACATGCAGTAGATGTCAGTCAGCATGCCCCAGCAGGAGAAGCAGGCAGGAGTCCGACACGAAAGCTAAGCAGGGGTCAGCAGCAAAACCTATTTTAGCCACCTGAAACTATTAATATCAGTTCAAAAACATGCTAAATTTAGAATATTTTAACTGTTTTACCTTGATTTTCTGTGTCAAAATGAAGCCTTCGTGTTGCTCTCTTCAAAGCCAGACTCCATTGAGAAAAACAGTAATTTAACGCTGCTGAACACAGGAGCTGCTGGTCGACCTCTGCCTGCATCTGTGAGTTTCTTTGTGTTATTGTGCGACTTCAGCATTTAATACGTTTAGTTCAGATTTACCGAAGTCACACAATTACACAAACAAACCAACTGATAGAGGCAGCAGCAGACCAGCAACTCCTGTATTCAGCGAGTTAAAATGACTGTTTTTCTCAATGGAGTCTGGTGACTTTAAGGAGAACATGGATGGGGAACTGAAGCCGCAATGTCTGACAAAAAGGAAAGGTAGGACAATGGTCTCAGCGTTAACTCTAATTGTTTTAGATTGTTTTTTGGTGGCTAAATTACATTTTGTTGCTGGCCCCCATCTGAAGCTATACATTGTTTTAACTTTCGTGTTTGCAATCCTACAGCTTCTCCAAACTGGGGGCGTACAGGTAGACATCAACGATATGTAATCCACTGACTATGGTTAAGAACCCCATAAAACCCCACTTTAAAAAAATCCGAACTATCCCTTTAACAAGTGCCAACATTGACATTCACTGCCAGCAAAGGCATCGGCCTCTAACCCTGCTGGTGGAAACGTGTTCACACTGAAGATGGAGAGAGACCTGATGGGCTGCACTCGACACTCCGTCAACGACCAAACTGGAGATAACAGAATTAAAAGTGGTATCCAGCACTAATAACAGTATCTACACAGTTACTACCTCAGCTCAGTAAAATGTAAATAAGAAAGGAAGCACAAAGATGGTGTGTGTGTGTGTGTGTGTGTGTGTGTGTGTGTGTGTGTGAGAGAGAGAGAGAAAAACTCCAGGCAATAAAGCACTGTAAAAGCATCTGTTATCAAGACATTAATGCGCAGCCACTGACTGAGACCGGTGTTTTCCCATCACTGAGACAAGGCAGGTGCTGCTTTCAGCCCTTGGCACTCCTCCAAGGAAAGGCAAAGTGACTACCTAAGTACCACACTGTACTTCCCAGTACCACACTTCTACAACAGCCAGTATGTTTAGTACAATAAATCCGACACAGAGAGCAAGACATGAACTGTCAAGATCACGTGCTTATAATGGGGGACCCCAGAGGTACAGAACCCCCTATCCCTGACACCCCATTTAAACCATCGGGCAGTGACGACACCCCTCCCACCCCTTGAAAAAGAAAAAAAAATCCTTTCACTTCAAAATTTGTGTATAGAAAATGTCCATGTATTAAAAACATGTCTTTGCGCAGTGCAACGTAGTGCAATTTCATTAGGTCAGTATACCTTTTTTTCCTTTTAATGTTCTTTTCATTGGCACTTTGTGAAGTTTCTGACCGGAAGAGACCGGAAGCTTATCTGGGATGCCACTGGAATAAACGATTTACAGGCAGGATCATTTATTTTCAGAAAAACAAAAGGGCGGATTATGACGGGAACTAAATGTGACGTTATTAACTACTAACGTGTGCTTAAAACGTTTGACTCCAGTAACAGCTTCCCGGCTTTCATCGAGAACTGGTCGCCTCTAACGTGCTATCAGCACAGCAACAGACAACACGAGTGACCTTGCGGCGACGTGGGGGAAAGCACAGGTGTTTCTATGGCGACAGAGGTCTGAAGTCGTACTGTACCTCAGTCAAGGAGTCAGCTCGAATGCTCGACTGCCTGCTCATCAAGGAGAGGACAGGCGCCGTGTTTGTGCGTGTGTGTTTGTCATGCGTTGCTATGGTGATCAGGTCAGGTCAGTGTCAGGAGCGCTTGGAGAGTAGAGGACAGACAGCAGAATCTACATTCAAAAGGCTGCTGACACGCAGCACAAGGATGAATCTCTTCAAAAAACATCTGCCGTCACGACTCTGAGAGCAGATCAGAAAAATACATGTTGAGGAGGTTTTCTTTATTTGATGACGGCTTAAAGATAAAGGGGGGTCAAATGTTGTAGAGCTTGTGAAGCCCTTGGAGGCAAATTTGTGACTTTGGGAGTTATTAATGAATAAACTGACTTGACTAGTTTGTGGGATACAGGTTATCATGTTGAAAATATCAGTATTGTCTTTACTGAGTCGACTCAGAGCAAGTTTAAGTTACTAATGAGGGGGAAATGAAAAGAATTGCTTAAAAACATTAACTGACTACTGGTGGTTAATTCTGTCTTTCACTTTTATCATTATCATCACCAATAAGAGTAAGTTGTCAATGTCTAAGTTTGACATTTACAGATAAAACTCACCCTGCAGGTGTGCAGGTGTCTTGAACTGGAAACCTTCACAGCTGAGTTGTTCCCATGACGATACCAGTACCATGCTGCCTAAAATGCTGGATCATGTATCGCTGAGCATGCGAGTCTGCGCACCAGTCCGATAACAAGTAATTTAGTTATTAAGTTGAAAGTAGTTTAACAAGTGGATAACAACGGCACTTTTCCCAAAAGTCAATTCTTCTTCACTGCCCTGAAACAGCAGCTCACACTGCAGGTTGCACTGTGGCAACTACTGTTTTAGACCAACAAAGAAGAATTGATTACAGGTAGCCGTTTGCAAATTCCAGTTTCATATCTATACAGAGTCAGAAGTATACAGCTGTAATTTTATTTTTTTAATGCAATGGTAGCAGATCGGTGCTCACTATCATCCAGTTTGCAAATTCAGGTATTGGAATCGGTATCGGGAACAAGAAAAGAAGCTAATCTAGTGGACTTCTCTTACTGTGTTTGTCTTTTGTAGGAACACTCCCGTGTCTTTTCAAAACATTTAGAAATAATCTCTGAAAGACTAAATGCTTGTAATGTTTATTCTTTTATAGTTATATATATTGGATGACTAACATAAACGCAAAAGGGGTACAAAAAAAAGAGGTTTTAAATTTTTTAAGGGTGATATTTTTTCAAATATTGGCCAATATTGTCAAATATATTTTTTTCTGAAATACAGGTGAAAGGGAAATATATATATAAAAAAATCTAACTATCGAAAAATCTACCACCTATATTTCAGCTAAAGCTTGGAATAGCAGGTCTGCCATTTAGTATTACAGGTCTAGTCTAAAAACTCCTTACTTCCACTGTTTGTTTTTTCCTAATTTTTAACTTTTGCTTCACTCACATATTAATCACTTTACAGTCAACCACCTACACCGCTGCTCGGCACTGACATGATTTGATACTCACGTTTCATTTCCAAATGTTGAACCAGAGTGACACAACATCTACTAAAAACATGGAATCAGGAAAACATCTTGAATCCTACGACGTTTGGTATCTACAAATGTTGCAGTGCTGGTTAGTGATAGTTACCTATCTATTTAAAACAGTAAGAAGTCAATCGGGATGCCTGACTCATCGTCAGGTCTTGATTGTTGGGTTATTCACCTACATACACAAGTTACATCAGTCAGACTTTAAGTTAAAGTTTCAAAGGGCAGTTTTCATTCATGTATCATTCACTGTGGTAAACAGTGAACCTTAAGAACATCCGCTGTCAAAGGAAAAGCCTCAACTCGCCTCAATAACAATGACAACCACACAAGACAATAATAAATGCTGTAATCATGCTGATTGCACAGTGCAACTGCTAGTTGCTTCAGCAAGTCTTTGCTGAAAATAAACTCTATATAAGAAATAGATAAACTCTCTCAGGCATACGCTGTGGTTTCAGTGATACTCTAAAAGATGACTTATTTCTTCAAGGTGCTTATCTCTCGGGTACAAGTATAGAGAAGAGATATTTCATATATTGTGTACATCTCTTAAAAATATGTTTTTGGAAAGTCAAGGGCAAACATTTTGTACCACTTGTGTGTGAGGGTTTTGTGCATTTTTGCAAAGTTACAAGAAGCGTAGCTGGCTGTAATGAAGTCGCTTAATGAACAGGTTGTAGATGCTGAACAATATGCACGTGAACATAAAGTCGATATCTGGTAAGGCTGCAGAAGACAGTGATGCTAGGTTCAGGATGTGGCTTACACCTAAACAGCTGTAAGTGAACAGGCGGCTTGCCTTTGGTAGGTTTGAAGTCCCTTAAACAGTGACAACAAAGAACGGATATGCTACAGAGGTCTTACCGAGCAAATCTGGTGTTAACCTTCAAACCTCCAAAAAAAGAGTCATGATCCTACCCATAAACAGTAGACTACATGATACTCCTTAAAACAACAGAGTATACCAAAAAGCTTATCTGTAGTCTTAAAACTTTGCCTTGAGTTGAGGCCGTGAAAAATGGCAAGAGAAAAACCAAAAAAGAAATCAAATCAGAAGGATCCAATTTAAATGTTTTCCTTATTCGTGCGTGAAAATGTTTCAGTCTTAGAAAAAGTCTCCAAACCTGCATAAAGTTGCACAGTTTTTTTTTTGTTTGTTTTTACCCACTAGTTTTATTTTCTCTTTTGTGTTGGGAAACGGAAAAGAGAGAAGGCGAACCCCCTGCTGGGCTGGAGGAAGCAGCACTGAGAGCTCCATCATGAAGAAAATCTCCCCTCGTCTCCTCAGTGGAAGAGTCCACCTACAGCTGTCGCTCCAAGTGAGGAAGAGCTCATCTCACGGACGCGGGGAAAGAGGGGACTGGATTAGTCGGTGAATCTCTGACAGGCTTTTTTCCAGCGACAGGCTGTGCACCACATGTCTCTCTTCTCCATGCCGTACACCTTTCGGCACTTCTTCGCCTCCCCACGGGGTTTCCTTGGTAACAGCAGATGTGACAGCATAAGGACAAGCACACAGACATCCAGACGCCCACACGGGCATAAAAACACATATATATGTGCAGTGCGCTTGAAGGCACATGAATGTGTAAATGTTCACGGAGGGAAAGGGTCAGGTGCAAAAACAAACAAGTCTTTTCTATAAAGAAGTCGATATAAAAAGGAAACCATCTTTAAAGAGGTCAGTGATTCCATGCAACTGAAATTGTACTTTTTTATGTGATCTCTGATGTGATATGATTCAGCACCATAAAGAGCAACTCAGGCTTTTGGCAGTGCTTCATGTCCTTGTCGTGGCTGGTTCATGCTATTTATAAAGCCACTCAAACTACGACCATAGTCGCAGAGGGAAAGCAGATAATTCCCAGTAATCATGATATGGACAGAGGAATGCAGACAAAAAGAAAACATGTTTTATCTTAAACCCAGTCTCATAGTTGAGAATAACTAGAGATAACTCGAGCAAAACTAGCCCCATTTTCTCCATTTAACCAGCACTGTGAACACAATCACACACACAGATGGCTGCTGCATACCTGGTTCCTGGTGTTGATTTCGGTGCCGGCGTTATTAAAGCATGGCTCTTGTTAACAGTGGCGTGTGTGCTGGATGCCGGCTGCCTCTTTTCGCCGATGCTAACTGTCCGGACATGAGTCACAGGCCCCTGCAGAAGTGGAAAGACAATCATAACTGCATTGTTTAACATTATACTACACTTTATTCTACATGCCAATGACAGACATACAGAAATACAACGTTAACTCTGTCCCTGTCAGAATAAAGTACACATTCACAATGAAGTACATACACCTCGACACGCATCACACTGGTTGGTTATAACTTGCCATCAGCTTCTTGGAGTCAAAGTTCAGCTGTTCATGTTTCATTCTCGATGCATTACTAAGCAAATGCTGCATTTTAAGATATGTGGTAACCATTTACAACACGAAACACAGTGGCACAGTGACTGAAATACCACCTTGTTTTAATCAATTAGAAAACCTGCACTGTCTGGCTTTGGCTGTGTATTGTAGTCCTGTGTGTTCACATCATTGCATCCAGATCTACAACAGGATCTCCTGGAGAAGACCACTGATGTTTATTTGTTAATCACCACAACCTCTGATCTATATTCACCCTCCCCAACCCTATTTGCACTTTGCGTTGCTTGCGTACGTATGCACCGAAATAGCAGGTGAGCTTGGAGACGCCCGCACTGTCTGCGCAGCCAAGACATACCGCTTTTCAAGATTAAAATGGGGCCCAAGGGGTTAACAGTACAGAGACAGCCTTAGTAACAGCTGTGAATGAGTTAGGGATCAACGCTGTTTGTCTTGGTCTTCTCAGTGTCAGCTCGGCTTTAAATACTCCAGAACATTTTATTCTTTTTGGCTTTGCAAGTGTGTTGACCTCACTGTTGTCAACCTTACAGTATCTTACTGGCAGAAATTTTTTTTATTACCTCTGATTAACAAGAGCCACAACCTGTACTGTGCAGGAATTTCCTCGGATAGCAAAAGTATGACCTTCCCTACTCTCCCTCTGAATGGCTAGTACTCGTTGCCTTCCTTGGTTAGGTTGGTCAGGTTTAAGCAAGAGTGAGGTTAGTTAGTGTTAGGGTAAGAATCCCAGGGTAAGTAGAGGCAGAGTAAGACAGAGCAGGGCGGGTCATGCCTTTGCTATCCTAGAAAATGCAAATTCACGTACTGTGTTTCTTGTATAAGCTTCCTAATATCAAGAGACAGGCATGAATTACCACAATTACATGGATGACAACCAATTTGGCACTGCTGACACAAGCTGCATTAATACTCCGCATAAGTGTGTTTCAGACGTTAGCGTCGTGCGGCTCTGCAACACAACCAAGACAAGACAATGGGACTAGTTACTGGAGTGCACTCCAAGTAAATACTTGCCGCAGGTGTCACCCTGGACTATAATCTTATTTAATATGCCTGAATACAGCTGCTTTGTATCACAAGGCCATTGTTGAGAGATCAATATGCACCATAATCACTAGTTGGCTGCAATATCTTGATGCAATCCTTTCTGGTCTGCCTAAAAAAGCCACAGGTTCAAAATCAATTAATATAAAATTTATCTGTACATGTTTTATCTACAACCAGGAGAGCTCACATTACATAAGTTTTTCTGTGTCCCTGCAGAGGCTGCCTGTCAGTTTTATTATTGATTTTAAGACCCTTTTATTGGTTTGTAAATCTTTAAACAGTTCTGGGCCCGAGGACGTCTGATGTGCTTTTAAGATACAATATGTGCCCCCTAGATCCCACAGGTCCTCTGACTGTCTCCTGGCTGTCCCATGAGCCCACACTCTGATTCATGGCAATGCTGCTGCAGCCATTATGGCCCCAGCCTTTAAAACTGCCTACTAGAGGCCATGATGATATTACAGAGTGCATTTTGTCGTTTTTACTTGTTTGATTGCTTTTAATTCTGAACTTTTTTATATCTATTTAATTGCAAAAATCTTACATGAAGAGCGATGACACATGTACAATATAATGTTGGCCACATTTAAAGGGTAACTTAGGGGAACAACAGTTTTTGAAATTGGCTCAGTGTTGACCACAGCTGGCAGCTGCGAAACAGGCTGTTATGTAACCGCTCAGGGCATGTGTGCACCACCAATGTACGTCCACTAACAGTTCTTGTTTGACACTGAAAGACTCAGATTGTTATTATACGTGTCCGACAACACTATTTAAAGGTTCCCTATAGAGATAGACCTGTTTGTTTAAGAGTAAGAGTCTTTTTGTTTAACTAGACACAGCCCCGAAATCGCTATCGCCCAACCCACCAGACTCCATTTAAATAAACACTAATTTTATTATTGTAAAAAACACTGTATTCAAAGTCGATAGAGACAAAATAAAACTCATAAAAGCTGACTTGGTTCGTGTTTCCACTGTTCCAATAGTCACCTTCTCTGGTTTGCTTAAAATAAACCCTTAATTTATCAAATTAGATGTGAAAATATGCTGACGCTATACTCCCTAAAATTACCTTTTATTAAAATGAAATCTGGTTGATTTGGTGACACTGATTTTGAGGCTGTTTCCGGTTAAACAAAAAGCTCTATCTCTGTAGTGATTTTCTCCATGATGTTGTGAGACACTCAGAATAGTGATCGAGCCACTGGCAAAAGCAAGTACTTTAGGAGACGTAAATTCATGGTGTGAACATGCCCCGAGTGGTTACACTGTAGCCTGTATCACGGCTGTGGCTCAATACTGGACAAATTTTAAAAAAAACTGTTGTTCCCAGTTGTCACTTAGACAAAAAAAAAGGGGAAATAGGGTCCAGGTTGAAAATACTTTAATGTTATACCTGCATGCATATTTATTTTTATGTCTTCTTATCTTGATTATATGTTACGTACTTTGAATAGCATCTTTGGATGGATTGTGCTACATAAAGAAAGACTTTTGCCTCTGTATGTATTAAAAGATGATGTTATTACGAAGCAGCGAAGGTGGAAAAAACAAAAAGAGGGCTAAAAGGGCTAACAAAAAAGGTTACCAGTGGAAACAGCAGGAGAGAGAACAAGATTAAGATAAAAAGGCGTGAGACAAAGCCTCACTCACCGGGACGCCTTTGAAAATGACAGGAGGGGATTGCCACGACACACTGATGCCGTTCCCAGTCCCAATTCCAGGCCCGGTCCCATTACCATTGCTTAACCCAGCCAGCTCAGGACCCACTGGGATACTCACTGGAGCAGTGGCCTGGAACATGGACAACCACCCCGCCATAGCCAGGAGAGGAGACGACAGAAAGAGGGAGGGACAGGGAAAGTGCAAATAGAAAGAGAGAGGAGGAGGATACAGAGAAACAGATCATATAATGAGCAGGGACGGCATTTTTCCACCTCTATGACTGAAATGTGGCTTCATATCAACTCTAATCAGGAACACAACTGCTTAACACATAAACTATTTCACATAGAAAATGTGTGCAAGTTTTAGGATTATAGATAAGGCAGCGTAAGGAACAGCAGAGAGAGCATGAAGTTAGCAGTATTAAAGCGAAGAGTATGAGTACAGTGAGAAGTGGTTATTGTAGTTGCAGTGCGTATACATGCTGTAAGTCTATTTTCAAGTGCATTTTGTGTCGTCATGGCAACTGAAAGTTCCATACAACCTCGAACCACCGCGAAGGACTGAATTCAATATTCAATACTGAATGATTTATACTTTAACCAAATGTGTTTTTCCAGCTGAAACCATTTCATTTTTACCTCCAAGGTCATATAAGTGAGAGGAGTGCTCATAAATTTGTACAGTTAAGAGGAAGAAAAAAGAAGAGGAAGGACACCGAGAAGAAGAGGGAGGAGGAGGCACGGATACCCAAAGTTGCTACAAAGCAGTTCAAATGAAGTGTTGCAAGCAGGAATTTGAACACGACTGAATATCTTGTCTGACTTGAAAAATATTCGGACTTCGTTCTTCATGTGACCTTTTGTTAATATTTGCAAGAATGGTTTTTTTTGTTGCTTTTCTCTCCCTGATATATACTCCCACACTGGTGTAGGAGTTCAGTAATTCACTCTGACCTCAGAGCTTTATTTCCCACATTGATCTTAAAAACTGCCTCTGCAGATTCCATATGATAGAAATCTGAAACTTTGTGGCTCTGTAAGTGCTTGATGCTTTTTTGGTTTTGTTTTATTTTCAGGGACACTGCAGTAGCTTCAATTTTCAGAAATAAAATTGAGTAATGTGTGTGTCCATAGTCTTGTGTGAATTACCTGGTAGGCGTGGTCAGTGCGGATGTGGCAGAGCGTGGAGGGAGCTGACTGACTGAGCGGTGTCGGGGCATGGCTCTGCGATCCATTCACACTGATGTGTTCAGAGTGAGGGACAGCGGTGAGCGGTGGAGGGAAGACAGGCGGAGGGCCGGCCGTGGTGGGGGAGGTGGGTGTGAGGCTGGACAAGCCCTCCGTTAGGCTGTCCATGTTGACCTCGATCTCTGAGTAGTAAAAGTCCTCCTCTCCATCACTGTAGTCCGAGTCGCTGTTTCGCCTGCAGGAGAGGAGCAACTACTTAGAAACTCTTCAGGATATCCTAAACTGAGTTATTGTAGCTTCTTTTTAATTTCAGTTTCAGCTTTGATGTGACAATAAACATCATTGGACCTCTTACGCTCAGTTTCAACACCCATCTTACCACATCTTTATGTAGGCCGCATAGGTATGTTCTCAAACTAAGTCAGTTTCTCCCGTTCATTTCAAATTTATAAACGCGGGTGCCGGAAAATGCTTTATGGTATGTATTTGAAATAATTCCACTCACTCCCCTCTCATCCGCAACCATTAATTTCATGGCTCAGGTCCATGATCTTAAATGGACATTCCTTTGAGGAGCATTAGCCTAAACACTGTTGCCTGCGCTAGAGGTTGGCTGAGTAGGCCTGTGATATATTGCCATTGCAGTCTCGCACATTATTTTAATGCTGTTAGACATTTCTCTGGAAATGAAGCAGAAACATTTTAGTGTACTAAAGGGAAAACTTATAAAAAATAAGGGTGATGTTTATTCAATTTCATATAATTTAATTTGGGTAATATCTGTTTGTGGATGGTTTTAATCTTGGTTCAGTATAATATTGATAAATTTACCAAAAATGCATACTCAACACATTTTTTCACTCTATGCACTTCATGTTATGTGTTGTTGGTGACATGTTTTGATACAGTTTTTGCTCAGCTGTGCAAAGCAAATAAATGTTTCATTCATTCTATGATTTCTTATCATAAACTGTAAACATACAAACAATACTGAGAGGAGGAAAACAATAAATATATCTAATAACATTAAAAGTACATTTCAAAACACTGACTTGAAGCATAGTCGTGATAAAAGATACCATGTGACTTTCCGTTTTACTAAAATACCACTGACATCTACAAACATGGGCCCCGCTGACACTTAATGACACAGAGTGCAGGAGGTGGTTACTCTTCCCAGCAGCAGGGGGCAGTAAAAGCCAGTGGGCTGCGGGCGTCCTCAAACAAACAGGCTGGTGATGAAATGACAATAACTGCAGGAGGTTAAACTAACTCATGTAGTAACAGTAGAGCAACATGGAGTCTGTCTTTCTCCCCTTGATTCTAGTGATATAAATTTAAAATCATCATAGTTAAGATCCCTTTCTAATAGCTGCTTAAACTCAAAGTTTATGTATTTTACTGGGGTACAAATGTATTTATTTACAGTCTCAAATGTACCTGCTGCATCAGGTAAAAGTAGTAAAGGTAGATTAGTGCTGTGTGACACAGTGGATCACATATATGTACAACATGCAATCACACACAGTGTGATACCCCGTACATTTATGTTATATTCAGTCATCTTTTAAGCATTGTGATACAAAGTACCTGCTTCTTTATTAGATAATATACCTCTAAGCACAAGGCTCGAGTGTGAAAAAGAAGCAGTGACACACAAGCTCAGCTCAGATGTAAAGGCAGTCAGCTGGACAGCATCCAATCTGTTACTAGTCAGATATGTGTCACTTTTCTTGTCTTACCACATTATTTAAATCGCAGTTTAATGCAACTACCCCCGAATCTGCGGAGAAAGGATTATTTAAGTGACACCCACACAGTGGAGGTCTTTATCAAAGTGGAAAAACAAAGCCTGTAGTTATAAAAACATGAATATGAATACAAATAAAAACAAACTTTTAAATACTGTCGGTGTCACAGTGGAGATCATCGATGTGACTCATACAGATCATCGTACTGCCTTGTGGTGGTGGTGGTGTGAGTGTTTGTGTGTGTGTTTGCGGTGGTTCAGCTGAGACAAAAAACTGTGGTTGAGTGCATAATAGACACAACTAGACAGTATGTAAGTCTAAGGTTTAAGTTGGGAACCTTAAATATTCATTTAACTACACATCTACAAGCAGTATTGGGGTCATCACTCAAAAAAATGTGTGTATTACACTTTACTCGTTACTTTTATTTTAAAGTAAAGCATTACTTTAGTTAATGACTCCCTGTAGAAAGTAATTTGTTACACTACTTGTCACATTTCTTTTGTGTAACTGCATTGTTGCATAATTACAAGTTAACAATATAAAGCTAAATGTTACATATGCCCTATCCTTATAAGTAGGGCTTGGTATTGCTAAAAAAGTTACGATACCACTGCCGAAACCAGAACCCCTGAAGTGATACCAATACAAATAGAGTACTTCATTCGATACCCATAATGTGAACAGGGTTGGGTGTAGAATAGCCATAATGTTAAATGTTTTGGTGGCATCTTGGCACGCTTAACTGTCAACTCAAATACACCATGCTCCATTTCACCACAGTGTGAGCTCCGCACTGGGGACAGTTGTGAGAGTCTGCTCAGCTGCACACATATGTGACTGGGCTATGTGATAGCATCATATGGTTACTAATGAGTCTAATGAGTTTTTTTATCAGATTCAAAACATTTTGTTGCTGGTGCAAGTTTGTTGGGACTGTTTAATTGCTCAGTGTTAGCCGCTGCTGCTGTGTAGGGGTGGTTAACGATAATATTGTCATTGTTGTTTTAACGATGTGCAAATTTACGTTATCGAGTATGCAAATGACTTCACAAAAACAACTGAAAACACACGTTGAAAGGTTGAAACCCCACACATTGACTGAACAAGAGTTACCTAACTTGCGTGCAGCAGCACGCCGCAGTACGCCTAGGTGGTCACATGATCTCTCACTGGCACCTTCCCGGCAGGTCAGCCTGCTGCTAAACAAACATTAGCGAGACAACATAGCAACACCGCCCACGGATGCTCCAGCAGCTTCGGAAGACGTGGGTCAACTGTAGTGATAGGTCCCAGCCTGTCAGGCTAAAGTTCGCAGTACCAGAAGACTGTCTACGGAGCTACCTAGCCTAGCCACAGTTAGCTGAACAAAGCGGCAACATGGCACAGTTTCAAGTCTCCCCGCCGGAAAAGTTCACCTTCAAGGCTGAAGACTGGCCTAAATGGATTAAACGCTTCGACAGATTCCGCATTGCTTCTGGATTGGAGACGCAAGCAGAAGAGAATCGCAGGAATGTGATCTTTGAGAGAGTAAAGTTTAATCAGCAGCTTCAAGAAACGGGCGAGACGGCAGACAGTTTCATTACAGCGCTGCACTGCGGTTACGGGGCTCTACATGATAAGATGGTGAGGGACAGGCTTGTGGTGAGTCTGCGGGACAAACGCCTATCTGAACAGTTGCAAATGGACCCAGAATTGTTTCTATATTTTGTCACCAGAGTCAAACAGAGAGAGCAGGTAAAAAAGCAGCAAGAAATGTTAAGAACATTTTTCCATTAATATCATCCATGAGAAACAATTAATGAGCTATAACTCAGGCTGTTAAAAAACACATTTAAAAGAATATTGTCTAATTATCGTTATCTTCAAAATCCCCCAAAATATTGAGATATTATTTTTTGTCCATATCGCACACCCCTACTGCTGTGTTAGCTTGTGTTTTGGTGGCATCTCGGCACGCTGAACTGCCAACTCAAATACACCGTGCTGCATTTCCCCACAGCACACACTGTATGGTAGGTAGCTTCCGCTGTGGGGGTGTGAGTTTTGCACAGGGGACAGTTGTAAGAGTCCGCACGGCCACACATATAGTGATAGTAACACGATTAAGAGTATCAAACAGTTATTGACGAGTTTAAGAACAGAATAAACCACTTTGGTGCTGGTGCAAGTTCACTGGGACTGTTTAACAGCTCAGTGTTGGATGTTAGCCGTCACTGCTGTGTTAGCGCGTGCTAACTGAGCAGACATTAAAAAGACCTTTTGCTGGAAGCACAGCAGCTCTGGACATGGCTGGGTAGTAAGAGTGGTCTGGGATCAGATCCCGGCACAAAAAGAATCAAATGCCAGTATCGTTGGACTGGTGACGTTTTGACACAACTTGGTACGGGGCTATTTTGGTCAATACTTAAAAGGTATTGAGCACTGATACCCTGCTAATAAGGAGGAACACCATTGGATGATGACAGGTTTATAAAGAAAAAAGCATGTTTAAATGACATATGATCTGCATTTAACAGCCAAACACACTCAACAAAGTCACTTGAGTCGTTCGCTCATCAAACTGTAGTTTTATTGTAGACTAGTTCAGCTTATTTGGCTTGTTTATCACTGAAGCAGCTGTTATATATAATGAGGAGGAATCTCTCAAATCATTTGTCAGACAACCTGTTCCTCCTTGGAGACAGCACACACTGCTCAGGCTGTAGAGCCTCTCCACAGGTGCACTAGACAGCGTCGCAGTTGTTGGCAAGTTTGATTAATTTTTTTCTATCCATTCATTATGTGGATAATTGAAGAACTTCTGTAACTCAACTAACAACATAATTGTTTCATTAGCAGCTGTAATGTGATTACTGAATTTAGGAACAGTAACACGTTATATTACAGTACCTGTGAATAAGATATGTGAATTATACCTATAATATTTGGTCAAGAATCCTTTCTGGAGACGATAACTGAGCGCTGCGTGCATGCGGTTTTCCTGTTATGACTTCCAACTCACCCCAGGTGGACGGTGCGGATGTGTCGCTGGATCCCTGAGGAGGTGCTGAGGACCTTTTCACAGTTCTTCCACAAGCACTTGAACATCACCTTCATGGAGTTCTGGAAGAGACGATAACCACAAAACCAGCACGAGTCAGAGGATAGCTGATTTAGACAAGTGTCACTATAAACACACTGTGAGTGTGTTGTCATTACATCTATCTTTGGTTTATTTATTTAATCCTTTAATTAAAGCCTTTGGGTTGTGAATCATTTTCCGAACAATGGAAAAACATAGGCTGTCAGCCACGGCAGAAACAGTGATGAAACTTAACACATTATCTGTAAAACACACTGATGAGTATTTCATGGGAAATGGAGGTCTATGCAGCGTGTACTGTCACGTTCCTCTGTGTGGATCTCATTGGCAGCCACGACACAAAGGCCTTCGTGGGAGATTGAGTGCCACGCTACAAGGGGCCAAACACTACACCTCATTAGAGAGCTATTAGAGCAGCAAGCCCATAAAAATAGAAACCCGATATATGACAAGCTCAGACACATACAGAGTGGGAGAGAAAGAGGCAGAAAAAGACAGGGGACGCAGAGGGGACAATGAAATTGTACCCTTTTCTGTCTACCTCGCAGTGCTTTCATGTTCAGCCACTGATCGATGAGCAGACTAAATGTACTATTTTCATCTCTTCCTGCTTTCTGTGCATGTTGTGGGCCGGGGTGAAGATCCATGGGACTCCCTAGAAAGTTGGTATTTTATACGGGGGCAGTGCTTTACGTCCTGCATCACACAGAGTGTACTGTACTTGATGTGCGTTCCCCTTGTCTGGCATTGGGTCGCCTCATCGCTTGTTGGTTACGCTAGTCAAACCATAACCTTTAGGGGTTGTGTATTAACTTAATCTTTGCCTCAACCCCGGGATTAATCCTACAGGAGGTCTCATGTCTAACTGTCATTTCAAACGGACATGAGTTTTTGATGTTTGTTATCTTCAATTTATGAAGATATACTTAGATTTTTGCTCCTTATACTGCTGGCATGGCTACAACCTCCCCTGCAAATCTACTCTACTAGATCTAGATCTATTCAGATTGGTGATATCAATGTAGTATTTTGCAAGGCTTACAAGGCAGACTATCAATTTTCATGCACATATATGCAAGACAAATTATAGCAAAACATGAAAAGTATATTCTGTATACCTTCATACATGTAGCATGTATTATTCAGTCCAGTTTCCCTAATTTTTTCCAAGCATCAGAAATAAAACTAGCCCACATTTTGCCACTAAGTCAAACTTTACAAAGGTGCGCACAGCTTATCATTTAAAGTATGAACGCACAGTCAGAGGATGAGCTGGTGAGACAGTGACTGAGCTCATCAAAGCATGATCTATCTCACCGGAAATAGGTTGGTGCTGGGGTGCAGCCTGGGGCTGTCCCTGATGTTTAAAACAACATTCAAGGCCTCTCAAAAAAGTACAACTACATACACATAGCACACGTATGCTTTACTTCCTCATATACACACACAGACAAAAGCACACCTGTGAAAACCACACTGGCCTCTCTCTAACCTCTGATTATCAAAAGTAGCATTTGTAAACGCTCATCATATCTGACCCCCTCAAATCTGGTTTCACATTAAGCTGAATATAAGTCTCTTTGGTTCATGAGCAAACCATGAGGAAGATAGAAAGATAAAAAGACGGAGTGGGTGTTTTTTTTTTTTATATATATCAATTCATTTTCATTTTTGCCCATCAGGGGTTGGCAGCTGTCCGATGAGCAGGCAGGGACCTGCATCACTGCTAATGAAAGACAGTGGGTGTGTTCTCTCATTACCTTTCAGCAGCCTCTGGAGAAAGAAGGCCAAGAAGAGAAGAGAGGGAGGGAGCAGGGAAGACAGATAGGGGAGAACTGAGAGAGGAGTGAGAGTAGAACAGGTTTTTATCAATGGTTATGTTAACTAGTACTGCTCTCAACTATTTCTCATTGACTGTCACTATCTATTCAACAGCAACTGCTCAACTGGTGCTGGCTGTGTGCACGCTCCCTACCATGCTGTTTATAACAACCCTAATACAAATGACACAGCAAAGCTAGTCTTTATTCCCACAAACAATCACAAATCACTTAATTCCCTAAGCGTTTTTCTTGCATCTTAACACTGTTACAGTAAGACTGGTGATTGCCATGTTTAATAATCCTCTTAGCCCTCTTGCCTACAGAAAATCAAACAGCCCACAATCCAAGGGGCAGCTGCTCATAGAGGGTTTAGACCTCTGGGGTTGGCGTCAGTTATATTGCAACACAAAGCTGGCCAGCAGGTTAGCTCATGTTTTATCCCTCTTCCACACAACTTGTGTGTCTATTTTCCTCCCGGCGTCATCTTACTTCATTTCCTGTCTGCTTATCTATGGTATGGCATGGCTCTCTAGCAGCGTCGTCCTCCGAGTCTTTGTGGTTTTATATATTCGCCAGCTCAATAATCTGCCCCACTCCAGGGAGGTGGAATTGCAAACTCCCACATATTGTACAGTGTATGAGCTCTCCTCTGTCACTGTATGGCTAGAGGAAATATTGAGATTCATTTCTCCTCTTGTTGCAACCATGAGCATCAATTCTCCTCTCCTCCTCTGCACCCTCCGAGTCTCATTTTTATGCATCCCTTGAACCTTTGGCTACTTCCTGCTGTTCATCCCTCCCCGCTCCTTCAATCTTACTAAACCTTCCCACCTCCCCCCATGAAAAGACTAAAGAGGGGATGTAAGGCTGCTTGACAGTGAAAACACTTTGATGCTCTGGACTGTTTCTATGGTTTAAAAAAATGAGAGGGAGAGGAGTGAAAGGGAGAACATAATCCATCATCTGCACAAGCACAAAGCGACAGGTCTTATGTCAGAGGCTGTTAAACTGCATTTCATTTTCTGGATGTTTCTAGCAGGTTTTCCAAGGTCTCTCCCTGCTGCTACTTTATAGAAATAACAAAAGCGTATCAGAGTTGTTTCTCTACAACTGTGGCCATGAAGTATTACTCAGCACGTGCTAATTTTTTTTTGGTTTGAGTTTAAAGTGGAATGGACAGAATTTGGGGCTGCTGTGATACCACAAACCACAGCAGAATCAAGAAACTGTGGATGTCAACTTACTTATTTGAGTTTATTATCTTCCTGATATATGGCTCATTTATTCTCATTTACATGCTAGATACTTACATTTCAAACACTGTAACTATCATTGCCCTCATACTTTTCACGTGTCCTAAGTGTCATAGATACATCCAAAAGATGGCACTAGAATACAGCGAGAAGTTTCCGACAACAACAAACATGGCAAAAGTGGAGGAGGTCTAATAATGTACCTTTCAACAGAGGCAGCATTGTAGGCGATTGTGGTCTTTGAGGCCATTAAATACATCACCACATGAAAATGGAGAATTCTTTTCACTGTATTACAGATTCATTCTGTTATGCCATTTTCAAAATGTCTTCATTGTGCATGACCTGCACTACACTGCCCCCATGATTTCCTTTGGTACCACTCTGTTCGTCCATATCCGTAAGCTTTCAGAAAATGTGCACAAATATGGACGACATGGACACGAACATGGACAGAAGGCTCCGTCCATGCTCGTATAAGTATCTAACTTTGAGCATAAATGAGCCCTTGATGTATAAGTCAGATCAAGTGTCATCCATTTTTACCTTACGCTTTCGAGGTATGGGGTCCTCAAACATGAAGTGCGTGCTCTCTGCAACATCCTCAATGACATCATCGCCCTGGGACGAGAGCAGGAAGTTCTTGTTGGTATCGTTGGATAGCGGCGGGGACGGTGTGGAGGGCACTGATTGGTCGCTGGCATCCCAGCTCCAGTTGCCACTGGTCGAACTGCTGTAGCTATCTGATAGCACCTCTTTCCAAGCCCTGCTGGCTGGCTCTGGGACTGCAGTTTAGAGAAGACAGACAGTTTAGATTAATGGTAAGACAAAAGTGAGCATGAGTGTTTGTGCACAATATTTTAAAGGTCTGAAATAAAAACAATGTTGGCACAACATAAAGTTGGAAGAGTATGCATAGCAGTCCTGACCCACATCCTAACTCTAGAAGGGAAATGAAAATGTAAAATCTCTCAAAAGCCCTAAACCCCGACAGCCTGTTTGATGCATAAATAGCTTTAATATGGTATATGCAGTGGATACTTTACTGTCTGAACATTTTTCATTTAGCTATACTGGACTCTGCCCATTAAGCCCAACACAGCTTTAATTTCCTGGACAAGGTACCATATTACTTCTCTAAGTCTTGGCCCACAAACCTTTTCTATACCCTTTGGCCTTTTGACCAGCTCATCCAATGACGCTTGATCTAAGAGACTGGATAATCATGCCGGCTTTATCTGACTTTCACTGCAGCAAGACATAGGACAAAAACAAAACTTAAACCCCATCACAGAGCAAAGCTTAATATGATGTATGCTGGGGATTAACATATACCAACCAATAACTATTTCCTATAGGAATATAAGGAGCTGAATCCCAGTTAATACATTACTAGATCAATTTGTCTACGAGGATTACTTCTCACAGATTTACTAAAGCCCTGAGGTGGACAATGTTTCACCTCCCTCAGAGCAGAGTGTGGCCAGGTTTCATTTCAAGTCCTAAAAGATACAATAAGGGGGAAATGTGTATCACAAAAAACTACTTTTGATGTGAAGCCACAAAAATCGTGCAGAAGCCATTTTTTATGTTCAGGATAGCAATAAGGAGTGTCGTTGGGGAGCCCGGCTGTCAGGGGACATCAGGGTACGGATGAGCAAGGCCCAAGGCTCAGAAGGAAGCCCATGCAAAGGGATATGGTTGACACTTAAATGGGATTAAGTACAACAATTGTATTTACTGACTATATCGTTGACAATATGAGTTATATGTATCTACTAGGGATGTACTGATTTATCAGCTGAACATTTGTATCTGCTGATATTTGCATTGTTGACTGCCATCGGCCTGTAAGATGACATGCACTGATAGCAGTGAGTGATGTTTTTCTGTTGTATCACATCAGTTTCCCAGGCTAAAAAGCAGTGCTCGAGACTAATGGTCTCAAACTTAAATTAATGAGCAGGTAGAAGAAGAATATAATGACTCTTTGGTGAATTGGCTCTCTGATATCATTGTGTTGTGATAAAGGTGGCTAGAAAACAATAGAAAACATGTTTCAGACACCAAAGGACACAATAAACTCACTAATGTTGTGTCAGAGAGCACACCTTTTTGCTTCCCTGATAATGCTACACTGTAAACAACAAATCCATGCTGACATCAGCAGGAGGAGAGCTTGTTAATGTTAGCTCTATGAAGCTGGTTGCAGCAACTAACAGCTCACAGAGGTTGCATACAGTTACATAATGATGCGTTAAAGCTCTATAGAGTAAAAAGGAGTATCGGGTGAAGGTAAATCATAACATTCTCATGATGTGTTCAATGTAATCTTGTAATATGAATTTTTTGGTGAGGACCTTGAGTAAATAAAGTGTGAAGGGGAAATTTGTTAATGCTTTCACTGTGATATAAAATAGATATTAGAGGGGTAAGTATAATATATTAAGCAGGAGGGCTTTTAAAGATTTTTTTTAATGTGAAAGGTTGTTTCATAAATTTGTATGTTGAATGTGTGCTCATTTAAAGATAGTGTAATTACTTAAAAACATTTTTGTTCTTTTTTTCATAGTGTAGTTTCCCTGGCACAAAAGGAGGAATAAATAACAGTAACAACAAAACAAGCAACAATATAAAAACATTGGCATCTGCTGTCGGCTATGAGCAATCAGCCAAATTATTATTTTAACTACTGTTATCGGTATCAGTATCTGTATTTACATGATAAATAAATGTATTGTTATCATTGAAACACATTGCAACTTGTCAACTGATACTCCACACACAGTTATTGGGAAATTTTGCGGTGGAGTTTCACTTGCATCATATTCACAACCATAGCGGGGTCAGATGTGCAGAACACTTGTGCCGCTGATGTAAATACTTCATTTGAGGGCATTTTGTCTTTGCTCCTTTATTTGTTTTATGGTAAAAGAAGGAATATAAGTGTTAAAATCTAACTTGAAATATTTTTTATTTGTGTTTTGAAATAACTGACTTGACCTTTTGTGCTATATAATCAAAACTGAGAACATGTATGCAAAACTGTTTGGCCTGGATGGTTGGATATGGTTGTTGGAGACTGCATCTCTGTCAGCACAAGGCTAATGGCCAAAAGCTTATTTGCCTGTGTTAGTATTAGAGCTAAGGGTGGTGGTGGTGGTAGTGCTGGAGTGGGTGTGGATGAGGGGCAAAATTTGGAAAATACTAATACTGTAATACTAATAATTGAGCAATTAAATTTACATTTTCACAAGGCTCGGATAAACTGTGATAAATCAATGATATCCACCACCTTCTGCAATACCTTGTGTCAAGTAAGGTTTTCATCGAGATTAGCTCCTCCAAAACCCACAGCACCCTCTGAATAGATCTAATGAATTCTACAATAAAAATGTACACTGTAACAGATTTATTTTGGTCAAGTTGTACACCACTGTCAAACAGGTTTATTTGGAATATGAGCTACTACATGTTGCCTTACTGAAAGCAAAAAGAGTAGCCTTGGTTTAATGCTGGCAGGAAAAAAAAGCAGATAGGACTTTGACCGTCTGGCAGGGTTGGCATGGTAATACTAGAACCAGCAAAAGGAGCTCTGATGATAGGGTCATGGCTGAACAGTTGGCAGCAAGTGCTGGGCTTGGGTAAGCATGCATACAAAGATAAGGGAATAGTGCAAATGACACTGTAAGACAGCCTTCCATTAAGTGAACACATAAACGACTCTGCAGATCAGTCTGTGTCGAGGTAAAATCTCAGTAACTGATGAGTTTTTCTTCCCAGGGTCCCCCTGCTCCACCTGACTAAGAGTGAATAACCCTGTGGCATGATGTAAAGTAAATGGCCTTAGTTTGTTTAATACAGTGGATGAGTCAGTCTTTGACGGTTTCCACTGTAGGTGTGTTTAAGATTAGGATGGAGCTGATGCTGAGGGAGTGATGTTACCTGTAGCTGCAGAGGAAGGGTAGAGCACCAAAGGGGATGTGGACAGTGAGGTCAGGACAGTGGCTGCCATCACCTCCTTATCAGCATGACCTGAGGGCTTCCTGCAAAAACACACAAATATAGATTGACCACACAGGAAAAAGTCACGTGTAGATTACCACCTCTGAATTTGTCTCCACTTCACCTTGAACCCAAGCATTAGGAAAAGTGTCTAACAATGGTGGATGAACAAAATTCCAACAGGTAATACAATACTGTACTTTTTTTTTTTCCCCCAAAGAAAAATAAAGTGCTTCACATGTGAGCTTCATATCATTCTGCTCTGAATATAGCTGTTAGTGTAGTTTTGGATAACTTGGGCGTCTCACATGACTGCAGGGTCCAACAATAACATTCATGTCAGCATTTTGTGTTACAGCACCCTGACATTAAGAAGTGGGATTTCTTAGTTATAAAGGACGTGAGTTACATGTTTTACACTTCCTGTGAACATAACCTAATTAATCTGATTTCCTTATGTGTATTTACACTGTGTTAACATCTTATTTTGCAAAGCTGACGTATTCATGTATATCCTGGGTTGTTTCAATGAATTTACAGGTCAGAATATGGGTGAACTCCAACTTTGGCAGCAACCGATTTAACCACAAAGATGCTAGCTGGATAAAGAAACATTAGATCACTGCCTCGAGACAACCCGAGAAATACAGGAGGACAGCTGATCCAGCCTTGCTGTCCGAGAACACTGTGGTAAATCTAGCTGCCGCAGAAACTGGAGACAGACACAGGCAGTGCAGAACGAAGTCTTGGCAAGTAGAGCAGTAATGTCGCTCCCGATAAAAATATCTGAAATATTATTTATATCAAACAATATTTTTTTTACTTTTTGAGCACCAGCCCGATCAACTAGCTGATTGTATTTTTGGGCCCGACGATAGAAAATAAAAAGATTAAAACAATAAATTCCACATAAAGTCACAGTGTGTTTGAGATTCAGACTAAAATTATTAGCAGAGATAAAAAGCAGAGGGAAATATAAATGTCTTAGCCTGTTTTTAAAAGTAGACCGAGGTGGGGCACATCTAAGATCATACCGGAAGTTTATTCCAGCTATGTATCGCATAATAAATGAATGTAGCTTCATCCTGTTTAGTTCTAGAGGGTTCATAGTGTGGAAGTAAATCAGAGATATACTTACGTAATAAAACTATTAAGTGATTTATAACAGTCAATTCTTTGAGGCTCTTGTAGCCAGTACAGAGATCTGAGAGGTGGTGTAATATGTTCAGCTTTCCTGCTCTTTGTTAGAACTCAGCAAGCGGTGTTAAGGAATATGTTTGAACAAATCAAACTGCAGCCATACTCTGCAAAACAGTCCGCTGTTTTGACTGAGTAATGGAAAATTATTTTAGAAGAAAAACCCCGGCCTTGTCCCCTGAGAAAGCTTCAAATCTCTGTAGCCCCCAAAAATATCAACAGTGATGTTGGAAGAAATTCGAATGATGCAGCGAACAAATCCAACAAAAGAAGTAGCCAGAGTACACAGATACGTGATTATATGCACTGTGGGGAACTCACAGTTTGTGTGTGTGTGAGTTTAAGCATGTGCATGTGTGTGTGTACATGAGGATGTAATGGAAAGCCTCAAGAGTGAAAGGGTTTTGTGGTGTGTTTCTGCACAGCTTGTGCAACCTTGCTTAGAGAGAAGGAGAGACACACTTGTTCCTCCTTTCCTGCTCAGTACACCCCATGCTAAGCAGTCCACCCTCAGCTTAAACCTTATTTGTACTGCCCACTTGAGCTACCAGTGTACACATACACACAGTACACGTTTGCAAACACATCCACATCCTCTGTGAGCCCGAAAAGTGTGCTTTGGCATCCGGCATTCTAATAAAAACGTGACCGAGCACCACTGTAATTCGTGCCGTCCTGCAATTCTGCACAAACTTCTCCACTTCACGCATTCATATTCTCTACGTCTATTTAATTTTGCACTCTCCACCTCTGTTCTCGCTGTCCTTGAAAGCAAAATGCGGGGAAAATTATTTAAGGCAGGGCCAAGAACTCACCCACACATTTGCGCACTCACACACACACACACACACACACACACACACACACAGACTAAGCTAATACAATTAGGTGAATATATGTTCACCGTGTACAGCTATGTGTGTAACATGCAAATCCAAATGCTTTAAAATGTTAACATATGAAAACACACACACACACATTAACACAGTTGCACTAACACAAAACAGACACACATACACACACAGACACACAATGAGACACAGACAGAGGCAGAGATACACATGGTCTGCAGCTTTAAGAGGTCCTTGTCCCGCCCCCAGACTTCTCCACTACACAACCAGAGTAAACTGGTTTGAGGCGTTCTCTCAGCCAAGCCCTAAGCCCTGGCAGAGATCCACTCGGAGTCTCAGAGCGCGCGCACGCGCACGCGCACACGCACGCACACACACACACACACACACACACACACACACGTACTCCATGCAAAAGCTTCTCTATGGAGTCCAAAAACACAAACAAAAGTACGCTGTAAATCAGCGAGACTGCGTGTACTGTACCTGCTCACACACCCACTCTCAGAAGTAACAAGACTTTTAAACATTTTATGGACACAGAAAAAGTTCACAAAGTGTTTGAGCTCCCACGCTGATGAGAATTTGCTGGATGGGAAGCAAACAGATCTCAGAGGAATGTACTAGATATGCAGGAATCTCTCAGAGACAGTCTGAACAGTGCACGGCGGTGTCGACACAAAAGATGCTGGTTTTACTCTTCGACATCTCAAAATAAGTGTGTGTTTGTGTGTGTGTGTGTGTGTGTGTGTGTGTGTGTGTGTGTGTGTGCTCTGAATACAATGCGGGTAGTTGGCAAAACAGTATAATTATAAAATACCGACGTGGAGAGAATCACAGTATGCAAAGAATAATATCCACACCGCAGCTAAAACAGAAGACATAGCCAGAGGAGAGGCGGGTAAACACACATATACACAGCACACACACACACACACACACACACACACACACACACAGTCTGGACGAGATATAAAGAGATAACAAGATTAGCCGTGTCCTGTTTCAGTCATTAGCCTTGTTTTCAGCTCTACACAGGGCCAACCAGGGACACACTGTTGATTCATGGGCCTCTGTCGCTTCCTTAATAACATTTTTGTGCTGTTTTTATCATGTTGTTGCAAACATGGACATCGTGTTGTCAGCCTGACACTGAAGTTAAAGAAATGGGCTATTTGGCCTGCCTGTGGAGCTGAAAAGTATACTAACAGCATACCACTGACAGTCATGGTATGTTAGTTGTTGTTCTCTGTGTGTGTGTGTGTGTGTGTGTGTGTGTGTGTGTGTATTAGTCAAACAGACAAAAAAACATGCTGGAAAGTCAGCTAGCTTATTAGCTGATTTCAGAGATGATTCAAACTCACTCTCACAAACCCACACAGAGGAACACCAAGACTCACCAGACCCCATTAATACCCCCTGCCACCCCCCAACCCACTCTGATTTCCTGACATTGAGCTCTTTCCTTCCTCTCCTTCCCGGCAGAAGCATGATCCTCCACCGCAGTTTCGTTACATCTGGTGCGAGTTTTTTTGTGTGTATCTGTGTGTGCATGTGTTGAGCAATAAACACTAATGGCGTGTTTTCGGCAACCTTTTTTCGGAGGGCCAACTATCGATTCGCTCTTACTCATGCTGACTATGGTGGAGCTAATCCACTGTTGTTATCAGACTGACTTTGATATTAATGTTTACACCAAGTCAGAAGCAGATGGCTGCCTCATTCTGCCATCATAAAACCAGCTCGTACAGATAACGGCACGGCCATCTGCGTTCATCGCTTATGATCACATCAGCACCTGCAGATACTCTAAATGACACGCTCCGCTGCTCTCTCCATAACTTCTCGTCTGTCCGTGAAACAACTACGGAGCCATTAAACTTGGTGGGACTGGAGGACGGCGCTAAAGAGCGACATCTCTGACAGTAAATCTGCCTGCATCTTCTTATGAGAGGCTTTATTTTGGAGCGGAGTTAAACTGGGGATGTCTCTATTTAGTGCCCAGAGAGAGGTGATTGGAGAGCAGAGATCCCTGTCAACAAACTTGGGTTGTGCGTCCGTGTGTGTGGTACATGTATATATGTGTGTGCTTGGGCGGAAGGGTGTTTTGGGTTTTGGTTTGTGACAAATCTGGATGTTTACAAGAACCTTTCAGTCCAACCATGGTACATTTATGGCATGCAGTAAATTTAATAATGACATGATAAACATGTCCTCCCCCACATATGCAGATGAACATGTGGAGGCACATGCACACTGAGGTATTCAGTGTAGTGACACCATTCAAACTCTGAGCTATGAAATTTACGAGCCCCATCACTGACAAACGTGGTTTACGTGACAGGTACCATGCCTCAATAGTTCGGTCTTAAACCCATTTACATAACTGTACCTGCATACAGTATGTGTGAGTGTGTGTGTGTGTGTGTAGTGCATACATTTGTGGATGCCTCTGATTGGAGCATTTAGCCAACTTGAGTGCATGCACAAACAAAACCATACACTAACTCTCTCTCACACCCACACACACACACAAAACACACACCCTCTTACCTTCCTTCCTCCCTAAATTTCTATTGGCCTTGGCTGAGCCAAGAGCCATCCCCTCTGGCAGCGGCACAACACATGGGCCAGCTTAAGTCAACAAGCCAGGCCTGGGCACATACAGCGAGAGAGAGAGCAAGAGAGACGCTACTGCTATGAGCCAAGACACAAGTAGCAACAACAAGCTCAGAGCGCAGAAAGGGGAGAGTAGCTTGTGTGCCCAAGCATGTGTGTTTCTGTGAACTGGGTGCAATCAATGGTTAAGCTTTGTAGATGACCATTATTTCATCCAAGGCGCAGTAAGTCACAATGAGTCCTGGCTCAGAGTATTTCTGTGGGATGCTTTTCAAAATGGACTTAAATTAAGTTGGACACACTTAGAAGAAAACTCCCATCACAGTAGATTTCCACACCAGGTCCTAAGAGGACATTTGGACTTTGATACTGCA